CACTCTAGTTGACAGTATGAATTGCCTTTATGCTACTCAGGAGTAGGCAACTTCCAGCTTGAAGGTTCTAGATAGGATGATAGATTGGAGTAAGTAAAGTATAATATTTTGCTAATCGTCACTGAAACAGTTGCGGAATCCGCATAGCTTAGGGAAAGCAGCAGATTTTGCCTAAATTCAATACAGGAATACGACTACAATGCGGCATCCACAACATCAAAATAGAAAGCTGTGCACACCTCAGGATGCTGTTGTATTTATCGCCTCAAGTCGCAGCGATTTAACTGAGCGCCCTTCAAAGCAATATTGCATTTATCTTGTAAAACCAACAACTACATTTTCCTCAGGACGCTTGCATTACGCGGAAATCCTGGGTAGAATTAATGAACGGCCTATAGTTTATTCAGTAAACAAACGCCCTACATAGACATTGTTTTTGCCTTGTAAAATGTAGAAAATGAGAAATTCATAAGGAAAGCTACTTTGAAATCGTTTTCGTTGTAATCAAAATATTCATATTCGGAGGAAATGCCAAAGCAGCCAGCTGGCTATTGGAACATTCCTCTGGAATACCATTACCGCCATCTGTCCACCATCTTTCATCTAAGCCCGCTTGTCCCCATAACCTAGTGGCACCCTCGCATGCATTTATTAAGAAATAAGGTCCCATATGTCTGCCCACGCTGTGCAATCGTTCTGTTATCCATCATACAAACACCCTTTTTCACATATACATTAAATCTGCTAAACCTCTGTTCGGTCAAAACATTTACGCATGCCTGGCCGGCACACACCGCCCGCATTATTGTCACCCGTGAACATGATGCGCTGTCGCCTCTTACGCGTTGAACAGCGGTTACGTCATTGCATAGAACGTGACGGCGGAATATAAGCAACCGCGTTAATAAGATGAAAAACTGAAGTCGTCGTCGTCGTCTGTCAGTACAGTGGTGAGAACGGTGATTTGTACCCTCTTTGAGTACGTCATGAAGATGCTGTTGTGCCAGTACTTAACGGTTACTGTTGAAATGTCATTACTGAATTTTTATCTTCCTTTGAATAGTACCCAAGTTCAGTCTCGTCTTCGTTGCCGTTTGACCCGTTACTGGAGAACCAAGCGAATCTGTTGCCTTCCCTAATCCACAGGTTCTAGCTTTTGCGGATGTCATCTCAGAAAAGGAACAGCATGTAGGAGGAAAAACTACCATTGACTGAATGAAGGAGAATATTGCGTCAATAACGCGGATAAAAATCAAGTGATTTGTGAAGCGACTGTTGAAGCATTTTGAAAATCAACCCCGGTTGACCACATTTGCATTCAGAAGCATTTTAAAAGTTTGCAAAGGAGGAGTTTGCAAGGAGGAGCAAGAAGCCAAACTTGTTTCCAAGGAGGAACCAGCTCCGAAGAAAGCTCGCCGTTGCGAATACTGTCCATGAAGCCCGCGACACGCTGGTATCTGACTTTCTACTTGCTAAGGTATCTGTGAATATTCTTCTAAAGAAGACTGACAACCCCCCGTTGAGCAAATTTCTTCATAAACACGTAGGAAAAGGCAGAAGCATTGCCGGATCTGATGTGCTGCGTCTGAAAATTCCCAAACTACAGGAAACCTAATCAGACATTGAAAGAGATGTTCTGTGATACCTTTATCAAAGTTACAGCAGACGAAACAACTGATGCTTGCGGGACCATGTATCTACACGTCCTGTTAGGTGTAACATTGAAATTCAACAAGGACAGTCTCCCAGCGCACCTTATCGACACGGTCAGTATGGAGTCCGTTCTGCCAAAGTTGGAGAAGCCGTCATGCGCAGCTTGGTAATGATGGGTGATGTCCTTCGTGTCCGATGGCGCTAGATATATAACAGCATGCTACCGTTGTGTCATTAAGCATGTTTGTGAGGATTCAGTTCACATCAGAATTGTTGCTCATTGCATCAACTCGATTAGAGAGACAATTCGCGGAATCTCTCCGGAAGTCGACAAATCCGCTGCAAAAATGAAAAGTGGTTTTCCTCTTTCGGGAAGAAAGGAGCACGTCTACATGAAGTATCTAACTCAGGATGGCGTGGATAAACTAAACGGTCCACCTGCACTGGTTATCACTCGCAGGTACTCCTGGCTGGAATCTGTCACACATCACAGCAAGTAGTTCCATTATTACCCAGCCATGTTACAAGCTATACAACAAGAGTTTGGCGACTCAGCCGGTGTTTGCGAACTGGCAGATATTCCTACTAAGAGTTGAGATGGCAACTACGTTGTATTACGTCGGTTGGGAAGAATAGCATCCGTTACCTGAAAACTGCCCGAATTACAGTCTCCGGTAACCCATAAAATTTACAACGACCTCTCCGATCTATCTAAGTCGCTGAAAACTGTTGACGAGGAAAACTGGCTGCAACATTTGCAGGCAGAGGGACTCACCTTTGATGCGTCTAGTAAAATCCAAACTGATATGCAACGCTGTTTATCTTAAGCTGGCATAGACGCCTAGGAGTTGCTGACATCACAGGCCGGCTTGCTCTTTTGAAAGTCACTAGAATGATCGACCAAAACTAACTCTTCACCTTGCCTAATGATGCATACAACTGAGCCGATGTTCCAGGTCTGGTTAGCTCCCCAGCTCTGGCAGCCGATTGGTTAATAAATCCAAAGGCGGTAGAAGAACTTCAAGGAGAAAAAGGTAAAAACCGACTGGCCTTCTAGTGTGTGATGCATGCAAGTATTCCACAACTGACAGATATCGCTGGCCGTTATCCATGTATTCCTGTGAATTCGGTAGATGCTGAACGGAGCATTATGGCCTAAAAATGTTTCTGACAATCGTCGCAACCTTTCAGACAGTAGCATAAAACACCTTGTTGAGCTTTATTTTTTAATTCCTCTGTTTTGAATACTGTCTCACATGTATACAGTGGATAAAGGTGCCTTGATTCCTGTTAATTTACGTTTCCGCGATGAAATCACGTAGGTTAATGTCTGCGCCGTAGAAATTTCAATGCATTTTCTATTTGTATCACGGAAATTTTGGGTCCTTAGTTTTATGACAAATAAAATGCGTACACAAACATGTTAATCCGTGTTAACGTGGAATAGTGCATACATTTAATTTTTTCCGCGGAACATTATATGCTACGGTACTCAAAGCGCCTGGTTCGCACACTCGTCCCATTGAGGTATAATACATATATGACTGTGGATACAATGACAAATTTATGTAACAGCATCAGTCTGCTGCGAAAATTTGAGAGAGGACTAAGAGACGGGGTTTTCCAAGTTACGGATTAATTGTAGATAGCTAGATCCCGTGATTGATTTATTAAATTGAGCAATGACCTGTGTTTAGGCTGTTATCACAGTTAAATAATCAATGCATTGTGCCCTGTGTTTGTGCGAAAACTATACTTTTCTTATTTCTTTTACTTTAAGATGGGTAAACCAGTTACAAATGTATTCCTTAGACGTTGGTGCAATGATACTTCAGTGAGTAATTAGTATATTTGAGGAAATTTGTCGCATATACCTTCAATCAGATTGTTACTTGACATCCGGAAAGCACTTAAATGCAGATTTGTGACTACAAAATCCTTCAGGATAAAGCAATCCGGCTGCTTCCTAAGTGACTCGAGCCTATTATTTCTCTGTTATTAATCAGAATGTATTACGCCTCTTGGTATACCATTCGGATTCTAACTTCCATGCTGACTTTAACTTAGAATGTAATGTATCTATCCCTAGGAATTACATCTATCCGTCTGACATAAAAAGATGTCTAAAAATATTACCAGAACATTTATTAATTGTTGAACCAGTAAGAAAGTAAAATTTAAAACAAGCAAACAGGAAACCCTGATACCCTTAAAGCGCAAGTATCTGCAAATGTGACTGCACTCGTTTGTTCTTCCTTTCAATCTCAGCATAAAATGTTATATCCACTGAATAATATTCTGCCATGGATCACGCCAGTCGCATTGTTATTGGCTAAATTTAGCTCAAAGGCGCAAGAGAATAGTGTTGAACAAATTAACCTTAGATGGATGCCGCCCATACTTTTGTGCACTTAACAAATATGTACATTCTGAGCGTCAACGAAACGCTTAAATGTTTAACTCAATACTCGTCGAATGGTAGTAAGAGCTAGTCAAATTTAGTAAGCGCCATGGACGAAACATCAACTGCTTCAAACTGGTGAATTTACTGAGCAAGTGCGGTTTATACTTCTCATGGTGTTTCCATGCCGAGGTCTATCAAATCTCCTGGATATTTATTCTAATATTTCGGATTGGTGAATATACTTTGTAGAAACCGATTCATTTACCGTGGGTGGAGGAAATTCTTCCGTCAGTTTGGTAGTTCCAGTATGTTCGTACGATTAAAAACAGTGTCTGAAAATGGGGGTAGATGGTACCTGCAGCGATGCTCAATGACACAATAGCTAGTGTTAGAAGATGACTCAAAAATGCCACTTGATAAGAAACGTTATACAAAACGTTTGAACAGTTGCTATGTTTTCAGATGCACGCAGTAAGTTTTCACTGATCTTCTTAACGACAGTTCACCAGTTTCGAATTACACGTTTTTACACCAATTCAACTAAATCTATCGTGGGTATTATCGATAATCCCTGAGGCCAAAAATTGTGAAAATAATAAACGAAGTAGCTAACATAACTAATGGTTTTTCTAGTGTACCATTGTTATCGACAGGAATATTAACAGCAGTTAAGCCATAAACCCCAGTTCACTTGGCTTGGTATGGGCAAGGAGTTAATGATACTAATGAATTCATTCGCTTGTTGAATCTAAAGCATAAATTATTTCCCAATACTATGGATATTAGTAAGCCATGTCCATCGTTTAAGTCAAATTAAATGCATCAGTAAGTATGAGAATTTCGTTTGCACCCTTAAATTGTCTAAGTCGATTTTATGATTATGGATAACTCGGGGAAGATTTTGGAACGGATAAAGGTTTGCGTGTCGATATTATTTCGCAGAAAAATAAATAAAAAGGCACATACGCGTGGATTAAAAATGTCTCAAATACATTGCAAAGATAAACACGCTGCAGCAGACGCGGAACTCAAAACCAGCAAGATGAGAACTTAAAACAATAGCCAGGTCAATCCCAACTCCAAAGCAGATTATTATGACATGGTCAGCAGCGGAGATCGAGTCAATCCAGAAGTTGGCCCTCGGTATATAGTTCAGCGATAGCCCCTCGAAAATGTTCTCGAGCTCGATGGGTAGCCAATTTTAAGGTCGGTGTGAGAAGACCGTTCTCAATGGTGAATTCATTTGGGGTAAGAAAAATGGACTTCGCCTGGAATGAGAACATAACACGAAGGACAAACAACTGGTAACGAACAATGTTTGAGAAACGCTGGGTAATAAAATAATTAGCGAAAATGGGTAAACTTTCGGAGTGTGTAGCTCACAGAACATAAAAATGCACTCTTCGAAAGAAAATGTTTTGTCTACTGAGAAATTAAGTACGGTAACCTTACAAGGAAACGATCTCATTTAAAGATAAATCCTTGTATACATACATTCCGCTTTTAAAAACAAGGGATTAGGTTTGCAAACTAGACCGCAAGTAAGCATGTTAACACAATTTCCGGACATTTGTCGTAGGTGCTCCTCAGGTGCCTATTAAACGTACAGTTTAACATTAGCGGTGAAATACGTCTTCAGATAGATGATGTTGCCATGTGACCTCTATTAAGTCTCTCGTTGATGCAGCATCGCCCACTAAGAACGCAAAATAACAGACTAGTAATACATTTCGGTTATGTTGAAGACAATTTAATACTCTTAAAATCAAAAAGTACGATTTTCAGCTCTTAAAAGTTTTAAATTTTTGCATAGGAATTTGTCATTTATCTATGAGTACCAGTCTAATGACAGACAGTTCTATTTACGCCGATTTGTGTGAAACACCGATATATATATATTCCACTTAATGTGAAACACAGCGTCAGCGTAATGTATGTGTTCGGCCAGGGATTTTAAACCTCGCCATTAATCTTCAGCTAAAATCGGCACATTTGGTATGTAATCCTCCCTAGGCAAACGTTCATTCTTAGGTAAGTTGCCGCAAAGGATTCTTTGCTTACTATCTGAGTCGTAAACTTCTTGCGTATTTCGCCAATTGCAAACTTAGTAATACCACGCTCGATAAAATGTGCTGAGGGAACTATTTGGGCGACGTCGTGGATGTGCACTGCAAGCATATTTAAACGTATAGATTTCACTTTTACGGAGAAGGCTGGATGGCTGTTATACTCCTCCTGTAGAGCGCAGTTTGACAAAGCTTAGGGGATACGAAAGCACGTCCCTACGTTTGCAGACCAAGGACTTAAGCAATCCTGTTATTTTCCCACTCACCATGGGGGTGAATCAAGTACCATCTCTGTAGGGAATCAGTTATGAATCTCTGTCATCGTCGGTCAATGTAAACCTGCTTAAAGGACAACATTTTCATAGTGAATTGCCACTGGTTCGAATTCTACCAAGTGCGGAGGAAGGGCGAGATAGTGGTTGTACTCAGTAGGATGGAATGAACGATCGGCGCTCTATGAGGTTGAAACATATGTTTGACTGGGTGTGCCTGGTAAAAATTTTGGAAAAATAATTTTTTCGGTTGCTGCTATTCGTAAAATGTTGTGAAAGAACGATGGATCAAGCAAAGAGATCATTTGGTACGTGCTCTGAGGTAAATCTTTTGATGAATACTTTTAATTATGGTGATAAAAAATAGATGTGTGCATCAGCTCCTAATTCTAAACTAAAACTGCAATATTGACCAAGAATACTTAGCCGTGAACCATGCAATTTCAACACGCAAAACAATCAGAGAAAAAAGGGCCTAATGTCTAGTGAAGTTACATTAACCCTAGCTGCTTAAATAGGCACCAGTAAGCATAACTTTATAAGTAGCTTGATTAATAATGTGAATAAGTAATACAAAAAATGTGTTAAATCAATAATGGCCAAGAGTCAAAGGGTTGATGGTGGAGGACAAGGTATTTTGTATCCTTTGCAAACTGCTTAAGGCTTCGATTGACCAGCACACAATGAGCACATCTTACCTAAAGAAAAGCGCAAACGCTCAAATGCTTGACGGTTTATCATGTGCCTTTGTACAAAAGTTGTATTTATTGATTTATTGCCTATCTTAAAAGCAAAACAAAGCTCATGATACTCGTCGGCCACCTCACTGGCACAGTCACATGGCTTCAGTGCCGCGTTTGGCGGTTGTTTGGCATCTTTTATTCAATCAACTAACATTTTTTGTGCCATTACTTTAAATTTTGCCTTGAACGGTAAACTGAAAAAAGAATTTTCTATCGGAAAGAATGTGACTAATATCCCGACAAATACACATCAATCCATTGACGAATTTATGGCTAGCGCATAGTAATCTCAATAAGCTACACATGAGAAACCTCCGTAGAACTCAGGCATGAACTTGTAATCAGATGGCATTTACTTGTTATTTGCTCAAATTGAACCTATAACTATTCTCTTGGGGAAGTTTGTAATCCTTGTGCTGTGGGAAATATACACTAAGTTATTTAACTGGACTAGATTCAGGCGCATCCTAATAAATGCAATCGAAATCTAGCGACGAATGCTTGACGATCACTTGCCTATGTCTACATAGTCCACGTAGTGGCTAAGGAATGATGCTCAAGTAGGTGGTGATGACCCGTCGTTGCTTGGCTAAGGAGACTACAATAAAACCACAGACAGATTGCAATGAATACCTGAAATACTCATGTACTGGATGCGCCGAACTACAAATGTCACCAACGCAGCTCTAAGAAAGTACATAATAGAGAATGAAAATGATTCTGTTGTAATTTATTGATTATGAAGAAAGTTATTGTTAGCTCCGTAAGCGGTAGATTGATTACATTATTATAAGATTAATGCTAAATTTAGTGAAAAAATGATATCGAGGTACATATTTCTTCAGACTTAGGAGATTGTTCCATTTGTTTTTAGTAAGAGGAGATAGAACTCTACCAATTACTGCATTGCGAGGAGGTTAAAATCAATGCAGGGAATGTGGCCGACGAAGTCTGTCGCTTAATGAAACCGTAAGAAATAAAAGTTGTGATCGAAACAAGGACAATTTACTTTGCATGCTGCTTGTAATAATGAATTTCACTTTTACTTCGGACGTCGATTTCCCCTGAAATGTACTCTGGGCATTACCATCACCCAGAATATAGGTGAAGTGGAGAGCTTTTATGCGATACAAGCCTTAACCTCTGCATTTTATTATCATGCTCCTGCCAGACTGCACTCCTCATGTAATGATAACAAAACGAAACATGAACATTATGTAAAAATTTTACTGAACGACGTGCATGACACTAACTGGAGATTATGAAAATTGAAATCTGGTGCTATTTTCGACTGAGAAATGACAATAAGCAAAAAGTTGTCGCAAAGTGTAGCGTCATTAATAGCAACCATTAAAAATTAAAAGCAAGAAGCATGGTCAAAAATTGTGTATTTAACATAAGCATAAAAACGCTAATCGTATTTAAGGAGAGAGCGATAGGAGCTCTGGACCTCTTTTGGTCTGAAATAAGAGATTGGTGAATTGTCAGTAGATAAAATGCAGAACTAAGGTTGTAGATCATCGAGATTAGTTTTTCAGTGTACACCTCAAGCGTTATTGGTTGAAAAATAATGAAAGCAACAGAATATCGAATTAAATAGGCGGTTGAAAAGATACTACGCTAACGACTACGCAGACGTACCAGTTCGAATCCGTTGAGACCACGCTGTCTACCCAGCGCATTCATCCGGCTCAAAATATATTTTCTAACGTCCAGATTGGAGCATAGTTCAACTTCATTTAAACTGGACAAAACCTCCGTTTTACTGTTAGGGAAGCTTAAAGATATTTTCCCCCCTGCCTTGACCAACTCAGAGCGCAGTACCGCGAAATTCGGATGAACAACGACTACTGCAAATGCTCGTGACGAGTCACCGTCCAGAAAGGAATTCTGTACCAGCGGGCAGCATTGGTAAATCCCCTGAACTTTTTCAGCAGCGATGTATTCACCCTGTGTCAACTTGAACATATTCTTGCATCTGTCGACAATTTTCAACGCACCCGTCTAAAATGGAGAAAGATAAACTGTTTATTTCTATAAGCTTGCTGTCATCCTGGTATAAACATAGTAGTAAATACTAGTAAACATTCTAAGCTGCACCGAATTTAATTGCTTAATTTTCATTGCGATTCCAACATTTTTCGGGAGGCTCTTGAATGTACCTTAATATAAAAAAGACTCTTTGACATGATAAACATTCGTTGACTACTTATTCTACACATTATCAACACTACGGTGTTGGCGAATGATTATCATGCTGTTGGTGGATGTTCATTTTACTAGTTTCTACAAGGAAACGAATTGGTCGATGTTTGCCGACATCTACTTGACGTATTGCACACGGATGCTTCGACTTACAACGTAGCGACATGGTTGCTACGTTAATTAAATTAAACGCTGCGAATTTCCAAGCATCGGCGGATATTGACAGCAACATTAGTACACCTTAGTGGAAAACAGGGGAAGAATTAAACGAAAAGTTGCGTAACCGTGTACCCTTCCTAAAACCTACGTTCATCGCCATCTGCAACAATTCGGAATGGTTCAGAAGCTCAGACAACTGGTACCTCATGGATTGGCATAAACACTGTGCTATTACAGTTTCATTGTCCAACCGAAGACGCGTACATCATTATCTAAACGAGGTTTTTGTGAATCGATAACTGGACGCTCATTACTTACAATAGTAATCAGCTCCGTTGAATCGTAGCAAACATTAATCTGAAAAAGTCCCGATAGGCAACCTGCACAGCAAATTCTGATTCCATCGATCTACTAGGGTAAGCACGGCATCATTTACTGAAAGCTGTTACTTGACAACTTAAAAAGTTACTGACGGTCTTCTATCATTTAGTGCAAGTAATAAAAGACAAACGTTGAAAAATGTCAAACAGAGGATCGAAACTTTCTCCTCCATGATAACGCAAGTAGCACATGATGAAAACCACACATCCATGATTCAGGTGCTAGGTATCGAATCTTTGACACAATCAAATTTTGGCCGGCACCTTGTACGCACTGAATACCACTATTTCAGCTTACAATACATGAACATCAAAGACAAAGTATTACATAACCGCAACCAAATCGCCCGATAATTTAGCATCTAGCTTAGCTCGATCTATGATTGAGGTATCGATAACCTGCCTGAGTCTTGGCAGTACGTCATTGGTAACAATGGGTGTTGAATGAAGTAGATATTTTTGGCTTTCTAAAACAACTATTGATTGAAAGTGTGTGCAACATTTTCAAATAATTCCGGAAGAATGAATACACACAAAACAAGGTCGATATGACGTGTGCACGAGACAACATCACAATGAAAGGAACGGTGATCGTGATGTTATCTGGTACACAGAGTAAGAACATACGATGGCTACTTCTGCGTAGCACGTAAGTCAGACGCCGGGGAGAGGGTAGTAACATGAGCAACACAGTGTGCTAAAGGTAGTCGAACTGTTGTACATAAGTAATTGATTCCTCAATTAATACGCTTGTAATTTATAAAGGTCTGTCACGGACTCCATGTCCTGGTGGTATATGTCACGTATATATGGTAGTCATGAATTGCATTCTTATTGGTGTTGGTGGATCTATTGGCGATTCCTAGTGGGACGATGTGTCAGTTTAGTATATCTCCGGAAATAATATGAAGGTGGTTCATAATGACATACTGGCAAAGGTGAGTTAACACTTTCAAAAAACACAAAACTAAGTGAGCTGCCAGACCAATGTTTCCTTCCTCGTAATCAATAGAGATAACTAGAGAGCAGAGAGGTGAAACTCAAATCGCTTACAGGAGTCCACATTCCAATATCGCCTGTATGTAACCAACCATCTTTGTCGAAGAGTTGAGCAGTTCTTTCGGGATCCTTGTAATATCCTTTGGTACATTGTAGACCACGGACGCATACCTAAATGAAAACATTATCCTGATGCGGTCACTGCTCAAAGATACTTGGTTAATGTTGGAACAAAAACATTTATCTTAAAATCCAGCAAGTAAACGAAAGCCATGAATCTGCAATATGCGAGACACGTCTGGTTTGAAATGACTACGGATCACAAGCATTTTGCTAAATTGTCAACAAAATAAACGAAAAGACGCGGAGCAGCTCCGAGAAGGAACTGAGGAAGTTTAGCAGCAACGACTTGCAATGTGTATGGAAAGGTAATATGTGAAATAGTTCAAGACCCTAAATTAGCCTCAAATAAAGTGGTAAGCACAATTGCAAATTACTTTCGTTTAAGGAGTTGGTTTTTCCGTACTCTTCGTCGTACCGAAATCTTTTTCGGTATTTACCGTCACAATTAATGGAAAGCAGTGGGTTCGATTAGCTTTTCAATTCCGAATATCTTGCATCGTGCACAAGTGGCTGACTCCAATGGTTGCAGTGGACACTTGCTCACTTCGTTGGTTGCGAAACAGTATCAATGCTTAATGCGAGTATGCTTATAGAGGTGATCTTAAGAACTGCGCATAGTCGATACTGTAATATTCACATAAGTATGGGTATATTTGGCACCAAGGTGGCCAGGTAATTGTTAATCTATTTAATTTAGTAATATCCAACGTTGTAGTTTATTTTACACTTCAGTCTTTGTACAAGAGAAAGCTTTCATCCTTATCACGCAAATGGCCACATTCTCTTAGGTCCTTTGTTGCGTTGCGCTGATAACTAGTTCAGATGTCGCCTTGTTTACAATGGTAAAATTTTGCTATGGTTATTTCACATTTCCAACCCAAACAAAACTGGGAGATAAGTAATTGAGCAATGTGATTCTGACAGATTGAAATGGGTCAGCAATCGTTTGCATAGTCCGCAGACAACAAACCACTTTTGTAGTGACAGTAAGCAAAAGGTAGTGCATCTGAACACCTACTCTTTCAGTATTTTACAACGTTAGATTTCACTGTTGTTTGAAACTTCCAAACGTCCATTTGGTTTACTGTATGTACATCTGTTTTCACAATCCGCTCTGGTCGGTCCAGTGTTACACCGTTCCTTGCCCTTGCTCATTCGCTTCATATTCTTGTAGCCTGTCCAAAATACGTTGGGTCCAACTGCCTTATCTTTTCTACCGTCTCGTATTTCGCACCTCTATTACGTCTCATTGCTACCGGCTAGTAACCCAAGTGCCATGCAAAGGGAACAGTAAATGTCACCGCTTAATTTTTCGATTCACAGAAAACGGTAAAATATATTTGTGAATATTTTTGTTTCTCAAAATCTCCTTAGATAATAATGAATTGTTGTTTCTCACCTAAATGCCTGGTTTTTGAATGAGATTACTAGAAAAACAAGAGAAAAATGTCATTTATGTGCTCAAATCATAAATAACAACTTCAATGTCCTGTCTTACATTTTGTCGATCCAAAATGATCCGATATTTCTATGCACGATTTCTCGCCTATTTGCTGCAGATAATTAAATTAACTGCATTCGACTCGGAGGTGTCAGCTCTACAATGTGCATACCAAATTAATCTTGTTGTTGCAACGTCCGATTCATGTCTGCCTTGCTGACGTTTTTGTTGCTGAATTTCAACAGTGAAATACTCCAGCTTTTAGTGTTTTGTGGCTTTCTTAGGATCTCTCGAACGATCTTCTGCGGAAAATCTTGTAAACTGAAAGCCGCTCTTCTCCCATAACATTTGTAGCAGCTGCCTCGCCTTTCCTAACACCATGATTCTTGCTCAACATTCAATTAGAATTAATTAATAACCTAAATCCATTCGCTACACTTTGTGAACTTGTCAATCTGTGCGCCGACGCCACACATCTTATCGAACAGCACAACGACATCGTAAATTAGTCCGCCCTCACTTTACCTTTCTAACCACAGCGCTCGTCTGACTGACGTGCGCAACCGAATAAAGTCGACAAAGTACACAACATCAACTAGAACACCGCGTCAGTTAACGACACTACGCTGTATCGGAAAGCATGTAAATGCGCATCCAAATGGGCCCGAATGTGAAGGGTGCATGTAAGTCTGTAAAAGGTAATCAAATTTTCGACTTAAGAATAGTCTGCTCGCGCTGTTTAAAATCTTAACAGCTAATGTGTACACATCTTTCCCAACGAGAGGTAAGAGATCGAAACAGCTCCCAATAAGCCCACTGGCTTTGTACCGCATTTGACTATTCCAGTAGGGAAATGTATGCATATCCTAGTCAAAAAGTGCGATCGGTTAGCAGCGAAATTCAACCAGTGAATGAGTGCTATGGTTAAAACACTGGAAGCGAGTACGCCCCAGCAGAGCGCAGTGAGCTCTAAGCAAAGCACTGGGGCACATTTTACCTTACCATTGTCCCAGACTGTAGGGTCACCATTGTCGTTTATCTCCTACAAATTTGGAAGAACGCCACGCCAAAAGAGACTAGGGCGCTGATAGCCAAACGGTACTCAGGAAAAAGAAAATCAGATACCACTCGAAGTGTGCGATCTATCAAATTCTGCCGGTCTCAAAAACTTTTATCGTTAACAAAGATGACGCGGCCGAAAACCAGCCTTCTGCATCTTCACTGTCTGGTGGAGCTCGATTCCTCTGGGAATTCGCACTCCTGTGTAGCGCTCCCTGCATAAGTCACCCGGGATGACACAATTAGGGTTTTTCTGTTCCAAAAACCGCTAACTCGAACAGACAGCCTAACATAAGACCACCGTCGCCTGGCATAATAACAATGGAACAGTAGTTTTATACGGGCACAAAATTTAAAGCTTCACAGGTCCCGTAGGATGGTCATGGTGTAAGTTCAAAACATAAAAGAATCGTCAGCAAAATCAGGTTCACACCGGTGGACTCACTGCAGTATACGTAGTATACTCTGGTAATCTAATGCAATCTATAAGTAGTGACAACAAAAGAGACTTTCGTAACAAATCGTATAGTATTCCGGTGAATACATAAGAGAAGTGAAAAGAGTGGAACACATTTTTGTAGTTTCCCAGACACTTGTGTTTATCCAAGGGTAATGGGTCATGTAAGGTGGTGCAGTGAGTGCACAGTCAACTCGAGCTTTGTTCGCTGCCAGTGTTGGAGCTTAGATGACTCATTCCAGTCCAGCATTCCATGTTCTGCAAACGCGTATGGAAAAGAAATTCCCAAAGCATTCCAAACGGCTGTACTGCTCTGCCACCTTGAGATGGTTGCCTCACAAATTAATGTTGCGACTGAGCTCTAACAAATGGCAACACCCGTGTTTTGGGATTCCTGAAAATATGGTAACCGAAAATCAGGTCACAACGCAATCGCCGGTATTGTCAGCTGAATACCACGAGCACTCAAATCCTAAAATTATACGGCAAAATATATAAACCATTGACAATTTGGTTGCCGGGCTTTAGGGTATCTCTAAGGCGGTGAATTCTCTCTTCAGCCATGGCTGCCAGGTCTGTATTGCATACTCCACATATGGACGTATGTATGAGCCTAGAAGCTGTGGAAAAATCAACGGGTCGACTCGTCCAAATGCTCACTTCAAGAGGACACGTGTTAGATGCCCATCTTTGATGCCTTCTTAGCCTCAATTAAAAGCCATCCGAGGTCCGCGTGGAACAGAACTTCCAGATCCTACTCGCCAGAAGAAGTCTGAAGCTCCTGGTTGTCGATTTTGTAGGAGAACATCACCTGGTTTCGTATGTGCAAAACTTTACATTTGCCCATATTGAATCGAAATATATTTTGAATCGACCAAGAATACACCTAGTCCAGCTTGGCTTGTAGTGCTGTGATATCATCAGTCGTTTTAATCGTTCTTCATAGTTTGATGTTATCTACATAAAGCAGGTGCTTCGAGTTTAAGAGGTGTGTGCTATCGTTGCTATATGACAAAAATAACCAAGGTCCTAATATTGATCTATCTGGTAGTCCGCATTCAACAGAGATGGGATCTGACAGGTATTCACGCACTAATACTTTCATACGCCGGTGTAGAAAACAGCTTCTGATCCATCCTAGAAAAGAATCACTAATACAAAAGGTCCGAACTTTATAGAGCAGCATGTTACGGTCTAACCGATTGACTGCCTTTGAGAAGTTAAAAAATTCACACCAACACCTCTGCCAGAGTCCACTGTTTCGATCCAGCTGGATCAAGCTAGCAGTAGGTTTCTTGTGCACGACCGATTTCGTTGGAAGACAAACCGTTCTAGTGTGAGATAGTTAAATATTCCAAATAGGATTAAGCGTATCAGAAATAATATCTTCCACTAACGTTGAAAGTATTGGTATTAAGTTTAGGGACGGTAAGCGGTTGTATGGGAACGAAAACCTCCATTGTGAATAAAAGTAATCATCCCGTGTTTACATATCTCGGGCACGTGGAGTTTGTCAAAACGTAATTGGGTGATTTGAGACAAAAATCACTTAAGCTCTCAACTACCGCCGCTACCGAGTTTGCACATAAATCATAACCTCCAAGAGACCTGTACTTCAGCTTTTTAGTACAGCTTCTGCCGTGAGGCAAATGTGATTGAGATTTGAAAGGGATACAACTCTTGTCATATGGTTTGTTGGCCAGTGATTACACTGAAGTGTTGGAGTATATTGCAGGCGCATGGTATATGCCACATCCTTCGGAGTTCGCGTGGGTCCATCTGCTGTTTTAGGAGGAGGATTTTCCAGTTTCACCTGACGTAGACTGCTTAAGTGTTGATACAACATCTTATGGTTTGAGGCATTACGTACTGTTAACTTCTGCTGGTACGCTATTTTAACCTCTCGAACAAGCTGAGTAAATTGGTATCGTTGGGTTGCATAGGTAATATAGGACTCGGTGCTCAGATATCGTTATTAGATATGCCAGGTTTATTTTCGAATCTCTATACACTTGCGCGTCCTGCTTCACAGGAACGAGACAGCGTTTCTCGGATGCAAGGTCTTAGTCGCTGATGCTTCGTAAACCAGGGAGGTAAACTTGCTGACAAAATGCTCCCATACGCTAGCCCGTGCTTCGTCTGCTAGAAAGGTTCAACTGGTTGTCTCGCCTATTCGAGCTGAAATGTCGTAGCATACATATGCTCGTGATGGGTCAGCAATTTCTATGGGATATTCTGCATAGCA